TGAAGAATTTTTCTTTTGCTCCGTTGGGTGCGTATAGATTGATCACCAATGTCTTTTTCTGTTGGATCAGAACTTCCACACCCACATATCTTCCCTCCAAGTCTTTAAAAATTTCTTTAGGTTGTAAGTCTTTTCTCACATATGTCACAACTCCTTTTTTCTTATTTAGGGCCGAAGAATAAAATTCCATTCCAAATGTAGTATTTTTTTAAATATTTTACATCTTGTCTCCTAATATGAGTTTCTTGCAAGCATATCACATTAAACTTTTGTTTTTGTATCCAATGATTGATTCTTTTCCTCTTGTTAGGTGAATTTAGTCCATTTACATTCCATGACAACAATTTGTAATCCATTATGCGTTTTCATTTAAAGTTCTCCAAAATCATCTAAATTGTCCGCCTTAAATTTATAGTAGTCATTCACCGATCTGATCAGAATCTTCCCTCCTTTGTAGGTAAAGGATAAACCTTGCGGGATTTCCCACCTGTATCTGATGTTCATAGTCTTCAGTTTATCAGCTAAAGGTTTATACCTTTTTCTGTCTTGTAACATTGTTCTTGGGAGTTCTCTCATGACCATAACTTTATTTCCTTCCACTTCAAACGGGACGGTAAATTGTTTCTTAAAGACATCTTCGGTTGTTGTTCTTGTTACAAATTGTACAATTACATCTCTTGGTAAGTTTTTCTTTTCCGCAGTTCTGGAGTTCACTCTATAAACTAAATCAAATTCTGAGTCTATTGCCCCATCATCTTCTCCCAAAAATGATGTTATCGCCTTCATCATTTCATCTCTTATATTTTCTTTTTCTTTAATGCCTCTGAATCTCAGATGGGTTTGCATTCTTCTGAACTCCGTCATTGTTTCAGATCTTCTAAGCTGCTGAGTCAAAGAATCTTGATTTTTTTCCATTTGTTGTATTTTTTCATCCATTTCTGTTGCCTTGGTTGCCGTGGCTTGCATTTCTTTTATGACTCCTTCCATTTCTTGCTTGATTGAAGTTATTTCCTGTGTCACCAATTCTTTTATTGCTGATAAAAGAATTTTCCTGGACTTCTTCTAGTTGTTTCAAATGAATCTGAGTTTGCTTTTCCATTTGTGCCTCCAGTTGCTTTTCCATTTGCACTTCCAATTGCTTTACAATCTGGGTCCCCAGTTGTTTCTCTATCTGTGCACCCATGGCTTGTACTGCATCTGTGTCAGCAAGCTGCCATTCCGTTTTCTGTGACCTCTGTGTATATATCCTTTCCTTGTTGCACCCGGCTTGTTTTCTATCATCCTGCTCCTGCGTTGGAATGCACAAGATAACTGCTGGAGGTTGTGTGGGGGAGAAGAGTCAGATCTTTTCTTTGCCCTTCTGGTCTCCGTTTTGGCGATTTCTCTGCCCTACACAAAATTCGCAAACAGACAGTCTCTTTTAATTGGTAAGGTGTAGATCAACAATATCACTCTGTTTGCGCTCCTCAAAGACCCTTAAAAAGTTGTTTAAAAAGCAATTTCAGTTGAAGTCCTCCTCAAAATGTCAGGCGCAACTTCTTTATGGTATTCTAGTATAGAGTAGGTCGGTTTGGTCTTCTACAGGTCCCGTCTGTGCGCATAAGCTCACATCCGGTCCTGTACCTTAATTAAGTCCGATCTCCTTCCTGTTGCTTGTAGCCCTTCTAGGGGATCTACTTCCTGTTTGACCACCTCGGAGCTCTTCTCTTGTTACACAGACCTACTCTTCCCGCGAGAAAATGCGTCAGTTTCGATTTTCCAGCTGCGCGCACATCTCATTTCCCACCACAGGAATGTTCAACAATAATGTTTTTACGGTTTTAAAAGCCTTCAATCAACTTATTTCTTTTCCGGAATTGGATTTCTGGGATTTTCAGTTCTTTTCCCGCTCTACCGCTTGTTTCAAATTGTTTCGTATCTTAGTTCAGGTAAGCGGCACGTTTTTTGTTATCTAGCACGATCAAATCGGGTTTCGCATTGCTTCTTTTCACTCACTTGTTGTTGCCCATCTTCAAGAAGTCGGCTGACGAAGGAATTATGCCGGTACTCCGGCTCGAACGGCCCCTGGAGAGTTGCTTGGCACTTGCCCTCTTCGTGGGAGGAGGTCAAAGCATGATTCAGCTTCTTCCGAAGCTCAACCATGCCAACCTCACACTCCCTCTTGGGCGCTGCTGCCTGCTTGTCCCCCCCCTCGCTGGGGAGCGATGCGTTGGGCTAAGAACTGCCCAAACTGTCAAAAGCGGCCGTCGCCCACTTCGCACGATCGCGAAGTGCGTTAGTCCTCCATCTTAGCTCGACCGGAAGCCCACAGTAAATCAGTGTTAATTACTTTCTCATTTCAGATTTCAGAATTATTCACAGGAACCTGAAGATATGCTTGGCAGTTTTGGACAGCAAAAAACTGGCCAAACTAAAAGTCTTCTTGCTTAATATTCTGCAGGTTAAAAAAAAAAAATCACCATTAAGAATAGTAGGGGGGAAATGAGGGACTCTGGGGCAAGTGATGCTCTGTCATCTTGGTGCTTGGGGGGGTCAACAGTGGGAGGGCTTCTAATGTCCTGGCCCCACTGGTGGACCTCCTGATGGCACTGGTATTTCTGGCCACTGTGTGATACAGAGTGTTGGACTGGATGGGCCTTTGGCCTGATCAAACATTGGCATCTCTTATGTTCTTATGTTCTTATAAATGCATTATCACTACAAGACTCACAGGATACAATAAGATTTAACTTCTAAGTAAACATTCACTACAAAGAAATCTGTTCCTATCTGTTCATGCACTTGTTCAAAGACACATGCATACAAGCAAGTTTGTGGATTTGTCAGTATTGTGTTTAAGCCTCTCATACTTAACCGATGCTGCAATCAGTGTAAGCAATTTTGAATGCTTTTCATCTAACTGCACTTATTTCATCATCATTAGAATTCCTAATGGTAAAGAAAACAAAGTACCCTAGTTCACTCTTTATTTACTCTCTACATGGTTTGACCAGGCCTTCCTTCCTTCCTCTGTGCAAGTAGAGACCATAGCACTTAAGAATATTTATCAACCTCCAGTGGAAAAGAAGGAAAATCAGAATGCTGGCTCTAATGCACCAGCTATCCTTCTTTACAGTGATTAAATAACCCCTTTGCATTCAGCCAGGTAACATATAAAAGCAGATACATTTAGTTAATGAAGATTAGATGGCTTATTTTTGATACTGTATTTTTTTTAATTGTAAACCACCTCAAGCAGGATTCTGAAGAAATAGTCTGCACTGAAATATTATAAATCGTTAACTCCTGAATAAAGCACCTAAAGTAAACCCCTGAACAAAGGGTCAGCACCTCAGCATCTTGGCTACAGTACAGGAGCCATTGTGAAGGACTGAAGCTTTAGCAAAAGAGTTCAGAAATAAAATAGACAGAATATTTATTACAAAGCTGATGTCAAAAATCAAGTACCTACTTCGGAAGCTGAGTGAAAGCGAGAAACCCTGCTTTTGAAGCAACTAATCTTCTAACAGCTTGGAACTGGCTTTCAAGCTCTGGATTAGATGCCGCAATATCACCTTCTTGGGAGAGTAATGCTGTTATGGCATTGTTTATTAATTTTTCTTTGTTTTCTGAAAATAGGCCCTGAAGAAAAAAGGAAAAGATATATTATCCTTGACTTCAACTGCAGAACATTAAAGAACGAACAGAAGAATTTTACTCACGTCTTGTGTTACTGCGTGCAGAACCCCACTGTACGAAATGTTAGCATTAAACCTGAAGACTGCATCTGCAAAGTTGCCATCTGCAATACAGCAAGCATGGATAAAAGTATCAGGTGAGGATATTATAGGGCATTCACAACACACAAAGACTGCTTCGTTTTGAGGCTTCCGGTTTGGCTCCCGCGAATGGCGGACGCATCCTCGGGTCACTCCCGAGGTCGTCTCGCCCGCCCGTGGTGGAGGAGGGAATCCGCGCGAGCGGAGACCCGAACGAGCCCCTCAGGATGAGAGGGACTCGGATCCGGGGCGCGTTAGGGCGCACTAGGAGGGAGCCTCTTTCTCGGCCAAGCGGTCGGAAATCGAGGCTCTCGCCATGCCCTGCCCCAATGGACCTTGCTGCGTGAGCGACCCCGTACGGGGTTTAGCGGAGTCACCTGATGTCACCGAGTGATGAAGCGACCAAATGATGAAAAAGAAAAAGAGCGGCTGAAACTGTGAGTTGTCGAACGTGAAGAAAAACAGTTAAGTGTGTCCCCCCACCCCCAGCGAAAAGTTTTAAGGGAGGAGGAGGAGAACCCCCCTTTCCCGCAAACAGAGATTCCTAGCGAAGAAAAAGGGGGGGG